AAAAAAAAAAAAAAAGGCAGGGGGATACAGAGTATTGGCAGGATGCTATTTTATACTGGGTAATCAAGGAAGACCTAATTGGCTGACTGAGCAGAGACTAGAAAAGGTGAGGGATAAAGCCCCACAGATATTTGGGAGAACATCCAGGCAGAGGGAACAGCATGCACAAAGGCCCGAAGGTTTGTGTGTGGGGGTGTCTTGCAGCATAAAAGGAACAGCTGAGCAGAGTGGCGAAGGGAGGGTGAAAGATTGGAGGGTCAGTTTCACAAGGCTCTGAAAGTCTTGGTGTGTACTTGGCCTCCTCCATTTTTTTATTCCTTTTTTATTTTGTTACAATAGATCTAATTTGGTTGGCTTATAAAATCTTAGGTTCAAAATCAGTTCCACTTAGAGCTTTGAATGTATTGTGCCACAGACTTTCAGCATCCACTGTTGTTGCTAAAAACTCTGCCACAAATCTGATTTCCATTGCTTTGTAAGTTCTTTTGGGAATCCTCTCTTGGTGTTTTGAAGTTTCACAAAGCTCTAAGTCTATGTCTTTCATTCATTTTGTGGATTTTCCTAGGTTCTCTTTGATTATATTCCCTTCCATTTTCCCCATCATCGTAGAGATGTGATATCCTCTCTTTTTGGAATCTGCTGTATTATTTTTTATAGTTTTAAATTGTCAATTTAGTCTTTTATCTGCTTGAACATAGTTCTAATATCAGGAGCACTTATGGATCTGTTTCTATTTCACAGAAATGTTTCACTGGTTCTCATTCATATTGTCTTATCTCCTTATGTTACTGGTTATTTTTGACTGCTGGACTTGGTATTTGAAAAATTATTTGTAGACATGGTTTGAGGCCTCAGTGATGTTACCTTCTTAAACAGAGCAGTTTTATTTGCTGCTGCCAGCTCCTGGCCCCAGCCTGCAAGGTCCCCTAAACCTAGTTCAGGGATTGAGGTCTTCTGGGCTGCCTGGGGACTCAAAGCTGGGTACTAGTTAGTGCAGGGACTGGTTTACTACCAGTTTACCCTTATTCTAGAGTGCAGTTAGGGGTGCCAGTACAAAGGAGGAGTGCTTTACCAGGGACCCCACTTTTCATGTACCCTGTGCCCTGCTTTGGTCCCCCTAGCCCCTCCAGTCTGATAGAAGTTCTGCTCAGCCTCTTCTTCATCACTAAATGCTGCCAAGGCAAAGGTGTCCCTCCCTGGATTTCTACCCTCCCCACATCCCAGTTCAGTCCTTCATCACTAGCATATTAGCTCTCTGAGGTCTGGTTTTGTTTGTCCAGCTTTGTCCCCATTCTCAATGGGAAGGGTTTTTCTTAATTACCTGCAAGAGTAGAGCTGTTTATACAGCACACCTCACCTCTGGGGCAGCCTAATGGGCCATCTGCTTGGGTGGGAGACAGGCAGGCATGTGCCCAACTAACCCCTTCCCCTGGCCAGGTTGTGGGGCTTCATTCTGTGACCCAGCTGTCACTCTGGGAGCCTTAGCCTGCAATGTCAACAAAAGCTCTACCTAGCAGTTCTCTGTCTCAGCCTAAAGGTAAGCACTCTAAGCTAGTGTGGTGCAGGGGGAAGGGGGCACAGACAGGCCACCAGTTCATGGTCATGTACTCTCCTTTCTCACACCTTCCTGTAGGTTGTTTTTGCCATCTCTAAGCAGAATACCTCATCTGGGGATTTTTCGAGGAGAGTGTGGTATCCCTCCCAGAGGCATCATCAGTTCGGTCCCACCTGCTTTCCTCCTCCTGGAAACTGCCTAAAATAGCTAGTCTGCTCGTGGTCCATATGCAAACCTATGACAAAATCCCTACAAATTGGTTTGTAGGAATTCTTTATATGTTGGGGAAATTACTTTGTGACAGGAGCTGCCAGTACACCTCAGGGGACCCCAAAATTTCAGGTTTTCTTTCCCTCAAGGATCATGGCTCAGTATGCATAGGAGGAAGACAGGAAGCAGAGGGTGGGGGCACTAAGCAGCTATCTTTGAAAGAGTGGAGGATTGTTAATTCTTTATGGAAATGTTTGGTAAAATTCA